GGATGCGCAGTCCCAGTGGAGATGCTGAGTGTCTCGTGATTCCATGCAGGCAATGAAGGTAGGTAGGGCTGTTAAGCTGGTTATCCTTGGGTCCTATGCGGTTGACCTCAGACTCCTGAGTCAGAGTGTGACTGGACCAGGCAAGATAGTTCGGCTTCTTGGGCTTTTCCTGTCCACAGAACTGAAAGACAGAGCAGATGGCCTAAGGTTGCACGGGGTACCTCTTCAGGCCTCCCTGTAGCAAAGTGATGCTTGCAGCAAGGCCTTCACAATTTAAGACAGGTCACCTCTCCCCGGGCCATACAAATGGTCAGTGACGCTTGTGTCAATGAGCCTCGGGTGCTGGGATTCGGTGAAAAGAGAGGTGAGGACAAAGGTATATGGTCTGGATGACCAGAGAGTAGTAGGTCTGCTGTTTCCTGTTTTCTGAGGGTTTCTCTAGCCTCTGGACAGACAAGAGATATGGAGCTATGGAGAAGATTTGGGGTCTGGATTCAGCCTCGCCTGCCTAACTGTGTGACCACTTCTCCAGGAAGGCTGTGTGTGTTGGATATAAGGCTGGTCAATTCAGTGGAGTGCCCAATATCATTTAAAAAGGAGAGGAGCCAAAGATCTAACAAGATCAGCCAAGACAGACTCTGGGTGTGAGCCCTAGACACAGGCTCTGGCTCTGTAGACATTGTGAAGCTGTCCCTGTGGGCTGGAACCTCTGATCCCTAACACATGCACAATAAGGGTAGGGCAGAAAGGTTGTTCCTCTTTCTAACCATTCAAGGCTGAAAGGTTTTTGGGTTGCCATGGATACCATGAGCCCTTGTAAGCATTTGGGTGATGGATGAGTTGGGTTTTCATGAATCAAGAGTCAGCTGAGGCTACAGGAATGCCACCTTCCCAAGAGATGCCACAGAGGCTCGGACAGTTTGGTTGCCATAGTGAAAAAGGCAGGAAGGGGACACCAAGGTTCCAGCCTTAGCTATGGCCACGAAACTCCTTATCTCCAAGTGATGGGGTGGAACAGCTCAGGTTGTCCATTAACAGCAAACATTTTAACAGATAGAAGGCAGACATATTTGTGGGCTTAAAGTAGGTGAATCTGTAACCAAGAGAATCCCACAAACAGATACGTTTTCAAGGTGATGCTGGGCTTTATGGAGCTAGGAATGGCCAGCTCCTGATAAATCTGCCCGTGAGTAGAACATTACTGAGGACATAATGCAATCATCCCAGCAGAAAGAATTCCACTGAATTCCCTTTCCCGAGCCTTCAGTGTTTTGCAACAAATTCACTCGGCAAAGTGTTCAGAGCCTTTAGTTGTTACTCATTCACACAACCTAGATTGAAAGGAAAGAGAATAATGAGATACAACGGGAAAGGGCGTGGACTCTGAGCTTCTGGTATCTCCCTTGCAGTCCTGGCTTTGCAGCTATCTAGCTGAGCCAAGTTAGGCAAGTTTAGGTATCACCCCTACGCCTCAGTCACTCCGCTTATGAAATGGACATGAAAATGCCTGATTGCGTACCTGGTGGACACACCTGAAAGAGTAATTGGGACTGATTCTGTGAAAGGTACAGGATGGCACCAAGTGTACGGTGGGCACTGAGCACATGGCGATTGCACATGAAGTATGGAAGATCCCCAGTGTACATGTGATGACATCTCTTGCATCTGTGCTGGGGGGATGAAGGAGGGTGGACACTGGTTAGCCCCATTTTGTAGTGCTAAAACTGAGATGTGAGCACTGGCTTTGAGCCCACGTCCTTCAACCCCAGGACTCATGCCCTTTCTATTGGTTTCTTTTTTTTAATGTTTTTAATTTTGTTGTGTGTGGAATGTGCACACACGCCACAGTATTGGTGTAAAAAGCAAAGGACAACTTGCAGGAGTGAGTTCTCTCCTTCTACCATGTGAGTTCTCTCCTGGGGACCAAGCTCAGGCCCTCAGGCTTGGCAGCAAGTTCTTCTACCCACTGAGCCATCTCTAAAGTCTCCGCCTGCTCTTCAGGGGGGAAGAAGATGCCATTTTACTGAAGTTCGGGTCAGTAGAGGGTAAGGCTGGGTGCCGCTGGCATCTGGGGAAGCATTGGAATGCTTCTTGGGGATGACTGGAGACCTGGAGGAATATTCTGGATGCTTCCTGCCAACCTGTAGTGATAACCCATGGATGATCGTACGTGCGATCACCTCCAGACCTAGTTCGCAATGCAATCTGCTGGGGGAGGGGATGCCGGGGAATGCCCAGCTCTCCACTCCACTGCCATGTGGCTTGCTGGAGCGTAGTCATCCAGGCCCTCCACCCTCGGTCAGTATCAGCTGCTCCCGATTGGCTGCTGGGAATCAGTTCAGCCTCCAGGAGCACTCTACCCCGGATATAAACAAAAGGTGATGCATGCCCATGAGGGCGTGTGAGCGAGCGTGCTCTCGTGTGGTGTGTGCGCACGTTCGTGTGTGGGCGCTTATGTTGTTATTGTAAAAACTTTAAAGAACTTCACAGAAAATTTAAAACAAGTCAGGTTTTAGAAGGGCCATCTCTACCCTCTCTGTGGTAGAATAGTGACCACAGACATTGGGGGCCACCTCACCTTTGTGTCAGATGGCTACCACGAGTGACAACCCTGAGCGATAAATCTGATCCAGTGAATGATTAAGAACAGGGAAGTGGAAGAAACCCAGAAACTTTTGTTTCCCACACAGGAGCCCCTGGGACAAAGGTCTTCTGTAGAAGGATGTGGACAGAAGGCATCTATTTGTTAAATTAAATATCAAAAACAATAAACAAGAACAGTGAGATTACTCTGCAGGTAAAGTCACTGAGTCTAATCCTCCAGACCCTCCTGACCTCCACAGGCATGCTGTGATACTCAAGAGCCCCCTATAAAATAAAAAATAAATAGATGTAATTAAAAATTTAAATAATGTCAGACTTTTAAACCAACAACAGAAGACACATGTAAATCAATCCTTTAAAAAAAAATATCTAGGCCTTCAGCAGGAAAAAAAAAATGAATGAGCCTAGTCATGCTGAGAATGGATCTTGTTAATCCCTAGAAAAGGGTTTTAATTTCATTAGTATTTAAATATAGCTAGAATCGTGCCACATGAAAATGAGATCCTGTGGCTGCCCCCAGAGTTAGCAAGTGATCTCTGCTTTTGGAGGTTGGTACTGAACAGTGGTGGGCATTCAGTGACCCAGATGAGGCTGGTTAATGCTGACCTTTGACCTTTAGAAAAACAATGTGTTAAAGTATATTATTATCCCTAAGAATGGTGACATCCTTTGGCCCTATAATTTCATGCCTGGGAATCAAGCCTAAAAGAAGCAACCAGAAGTTGGCCAAATGGTCGAGGGTAGGAAGGGAGTGTTATTTTGTTTGCTGGTCTGGTGGTATGTTTTGTTTGCTTTTTTTGAGCCAGGGTTTTGCTAAGTATCCCAGGCTGGGCTCAAACTCACTGTGAAGACCAGTCAGGCCTTGGGTTCATGATGCTCTTCTGGCCTTGGCCTCCTAAGTGCCAGATTTCTCCACTTGCACTACCATACCCAACTTGGGACAGTTTTAAGAACAAAATAATGGAAACCTAAGGTGTTTGTGGTGGATGTACGTATCATGTCAGCACTGGGGAGGCTGAGGCGATAGGATCTAAAGTCTGAGACTACTTTAGGCTACAAAGCCATTCCAGGCTACGTAGCAAGAGCATTTGAAAGATATTTTTAAATGTGTGGGTTCAGGGCCCAGCTCAGTGGGTAGAATGCTTGCAGTGAAAAATATGAGTTTGGGTCTGCAGAACCCTCTAGAAAGTGAGGTGTGGCTGAAGATGTTTGCGACATCAAGGCTCAGGGGCCAGACACAGGCAGATCCTGGAGTAATCTGGCTAGTCTAGCCAAAACAGTGAGCTCTGGGTTTGATAAGAGACCCTGTCATAATATATATATATATATATATATATATATATCTAGGTATACGCAGAAATATATATAAATATATATATATATATATTTTTAGATATTGTTTTTTATATAA